GGGTGGGTGGGTGGAGGTCTCACACCACTTCAGTTCTGACAGCACATGTAGTTTCTGCTGGTTTTTATGCTAGTGCTTAACATATCATTCCAGCAACTTACCTGTGAAAGGAACGGAAGTTTCCTGAAGTTTAGCCTAAGGTGTGAAAGGACTTCAAGCCTGCCCTCTGTTTCAGGTATATTTATACCCAAAATTATTTTACGAGCTTTCAAACTTTTTTCTTTATATTCTTCCTGTTAAAATCAAAACAAATCTATTTGTGAGGGATCTGGATGTTTCAGAGATGGAGGAGGTAAGACAAGGGATCATGGCATATAGAACTTGTATATATTGAAAGAAGCTGATGGTAGTTTGTTTATGCTAGAAAGACAAAACACATTCTATAAAAGTTCTTGTAGACACTGAGCAGACTCAGTACACAGTGGGTCTTGGAATGCTGTTTTGAGTTCTGGTTTGTGTTACCTAATGGCATTAAAACATTGACAGTAAAAACAGGCATCATGCCTATACAAAAGCTAAGTTTGTTTTCATGGACATCTATGATGTACTACATGCCCAGACAGAAAAATAAATGGTGCTTGCCTTCCCTGTTCCTGTAAGCAGATCTCCATGGCTGCAGTTGATTTCATTTGACTCTGCCCCTGACCACACAATTCTTCTAAACCCCAGTCTGTTGGGTTCTGATACAAATTGGCACAGAAATCAAACAGCCCCACAAAGGCATAAGTAGTCATATTGGTATTTTATGAAAAGTGCAGTGATATTTTGTATGAAGGACGTGCATTTTTACTCTTTTGCCACATGTTGTGATAAAGATTATCCATGCATGGAGTAGTCTTCTAAGTGATGTTACTAAAATGCAATTTGATTCCTCAGATGTGGATGAAACCTGGCACTTTGTCAAGTTTAAATGCAATGAAGTTTTGATCCTGAAGCTCAGTATGTTGGCTACTATGTATATGCATAAATGGTCTGACCAAGATTCCTGATCTCAGTAAAAGTGTACTTGCTGAGATAAATGACTAGGTAGCTGTTTCTAGTTTTGTACACACAGATTAAATCAAAATTAGTTTCAATTTTCTTAATAATCATAGAATCATAGAATATCCTGGGTTGGGAGGAACCCACAAGGATCATTGAAGTCCAATACCTGGCCTGCACAGGACAGCCTGAAAAATCACACCATGTGTCTGAGAGCATTGTGTTAATAAATTAATGTACTTAGCATATTTTAGTTAGGGATCTATTAATGCCGTGTAGCCAAAGGTACTGAAAGCTAGCAATGCCATTTCAATGTATATTTGTGGCTTTGAAGCAGAACTTCAAGCATTCATATTAGCTTTTTCCATACTAAGATATAAAAAATAATTTTATATGTTGCTGAAATTATTAAAAAGTGTACAGTGTAGTAAAAAGTACTTGGAGCCAGGTTTCTGTGTCTGTAAATTTTCAAGTGTCTGAAAGTGTCCATCTTCACAATACCTTTGCCATTTAGCACATGGCCCTTGATCCTTCAGTGTCATGATCCAATTCTGATCCTCAGGCTTCTCAATTCTTCATCCTTTTTTTCGTTCTGCAGTTGGGGAGAGCTTCATCCCGGTGGTTTAGTAGCTGAGAAATTTAGTATTGGTAACTCAGCTGACAGGGATTTTGGAAGCAACCAGTTGAACTTTCAGAAAAAGACAAATGTGTCCTCCTTTCTGCTGGGAAAAGCATTTGTATAAGTGATCTGCCACTACAACTCCAGTGAGAGTTATAAAGGTTACTAGTAAAAGTGGCTTCTGGGACTTCTGAGATTAGTCATTGCTGAAAATCATCCAAGATCACAGTATTATCTTGCCTGATCTCAAAATTCTTATTTATGCAAGTGGACATACTCCAAGGAAAAGATCATTTAGAAATACACTGAATGTTGTCCTTGTCTTCACGAGTTCCTGCATCAGATTGCATGTTGTGTGGAATGAGAGATTTCTGAATGGATGTAAGCAGACCCCCAACATCTGTTACAAAGAATTAAGCAACAAACTGGAGCAGAACATTTTATGGTTCAACTTAATAACAGAATTCCTCACAAGTAAAATATATCTCCATTCGCATATTGTAAAGTTTATAGAATCTCTAAGACAGATGGAGCCTCTCAAAATTTTGCCCAGACAGCAATGAACTTTTGAATGGTATGGAATAGTAACACCAGAGCTCTGATGACAACTATCTGCTCTAGTTTGGGTTATGGCTTCTAGAAACACGATCTGAAGCTTATTTACATGAAAATTCAGGCTGTAGGATGACTTCCACAATACTTTGGAAGAGTATAGTCTCCCATTAGTGTCTGAATGGTTGCATGTGTCTCACAAGTGGTAGTACACCAGCCACACAGGAGGAAGCAATCATACATAAACCATCACATTATCATCATGATTGTTCACTGGCTCTGGTCCTTCCCTTTCACTTTTGGAGTTACCTTTTCCTACCACACCCAGTAGTTAATGAAGGTGACCCAAGAGACCTCCATGCAGTTGCTGGAGAGAGCTGGGTTTTGGTGCTCTCCATTCCCTGTGACAGCTCATTAGAAATGCAGTGGAATGCACACAGCATCTGCTGTTTCTGGTAAGTAATCAAAACAGGCAGAGTCAGTGTTGATGATTCAGTGTTATGCTGCAGTTCCCTCTGTTGCTAATAGCAGGTTAGTTTTGCCTCTTTATGATGGCAAACATCAGTTTTCAGAGTTTTCTTGCATTGTTGTTCTCACTAAATGACCTCATTTCTGAAAATTAAGTTGTCAGGTTTACTACTAGAAAGGGATGATTGCATTAATCCAATTAATTACTAGAATTGGATTAATTGGTTACTAGAATTTTTGTGAATTTATCTGTTGTAGCAAGGTACCAAAACATAGAAAGGTTTCAACTGGCAAAATGCAAAATAATCTTCTGCATGGAGCTAGCTTAACTAGGGAACGTTTGCCAGTTGGGACTGGACTGAAGGAAAAGACAAACTGTACCAAGTGAGTTTGCCAGATTTTTCATCCATCATCTGTATTTAATACACAAATTTACTCCACCTGTGCTTTTTGCTTTCCAGAATATTTTTTCTTTGAGAAATGTATGTAATAAATTAATTATTGCTTTAAAGGATGTTATGCTTTAGATGACTTTTTTAGGGGAGGGAGTTGGATAGAGTGCAATATAATCTTCATTTCCTTTATTGTAGTAACAGTGAATGATGTGGATAAGCTGTTCTATATCTCTGTGAATTCTTGTAGCTGATCTCTACTCCTTGCCCGCTTTGTTGGAGGTTAGTTATTCTTTGCTTGGAGTTGTATTGCAAGCTGCTTGACAATGTGGGAAAGCGATTGTGCTTATTTTATTTTGTTTGCGCAGTACCATGCACATTGTGATTATGGAATAAATAATTATTGAAACAGAATTAGGAAGGGATTATTACTGTCCTTTTTTCAGCTTCCTTAGACTGAGAAACATCTCTATATTATTTAAGGAAATTGAAACATTTGGATATTGGGCAGATAACTGATTACTCTTGTGAGGGCCTAAATTAATTCCTCTGAATATACAGTTTATGAATTATTTGGTCTGATCCTGATTTTATTTTGCCCTCAGATGTTTTCAGACTATCATGCAGTTGAGAGAAAACGATGGGATGTGACTTGCCAGGAAATACTTTCAGCACTGTGAACTAGATGAAAGTCTTGTGGATATATAAAATTAGCATGCATGTGTGGTTCTTTTCAAAGGTACAGTGCTTCAGTGTGCTTTTTGGAGCCATTAGTTTAGATGAGTAGGCAGTATTTTTGATCCTTGTAATGACAGTCTAGCTTTAAAGTAGTGGTAAGTCTTTGAGTATAATCAGTTTCAGAATTTAGTTGCTCTGTTCTTGCAAGGATTTGAAGACAAGGGAGAACTTTTTAGGGTAGTACTGAAGAAGTATCATGAAACATCAGGTTTGCTATGTGTAGTAATATGTACATAGTAATTGACATGTTCTGTGGTTGTTTTTCCCCAGCAATATGTTTTTAGAAAATCTTGATGCCTTATCTCTATACAATGTTTGCCAGTCTCTGCCCACCCTCTTTCTTTACAAAGACTCAAGGAGGGGTCCTGGGCACTTGTTGATAAAGAGGAGCTGTTGTACAGATATAACAAGGTCTCATCCTGAGTGAAGAGGGAAGTCCTGAGCTGGAGGCTTCCTTCAGGCCTGTTTGTAGAAGGCGCCTTCTACATCTATGAATTTGGCTTTTTAAAAAAAAAAAAAATTCCAAAAGTCAGGAATATGCACTAGGTAAATTGCTATGCTGGCAAACTAGTAAGAGAAAAATTGCACTTATCTCAAACTAGATCAGTAAAAAGATTTAATATCAAAAAATTAAAATATATGCATTACCAAGAAGTACATGGTGCTTGGTTAGAAACACTGTGAAATTTGCAATTATAGTATTCACTGTGAGATGGAGAAGTCCAGAGGAGGAGACTTCCTATTGTATATTATAGACCTGATTTGAGGTTTTAAGTGTTTTAAGGTAGCCTGGTTACCTGTCCTTGCAATCCTTTGACAAGTATCTTGTAATTTCTGTTAGTTTTATTCAGTGCCCCAAATCCAAATTGGCCAGAATACTTACTATTAAAAAGATTAAAATATCTCCCAAGGAAGCCTCAAATGTGAGTTGCTGTTCCTCATATTCTCAGAGTGCTGTTTTTGCTGTTTCCCAGCTTCTTTTTTTTCAGTGCAGCAAAGACTCCTATACTTCATGTTTACATCAGTTTGTACAGAATGACTTTATGGTTTTCTGCTCAGGGAAATACATGGTTGGTGCAACACAACATCTAGGAAAATAATGAGAGGCAATTGTGTTTGAAAGACCTCTTGGAGTGTGTGGAGGTGGAGCAGTGGCAAACTTGTGTTATACCAGTAACATGAGAAAAAAGAATCCTGTGAGGTTCCCTGTGGTAGTTTGTAGCTGAAGATGAAATGCTGCATGGAGAAGCAGTGGTGATTCACATGGTGTGTGCTCCTGAGAGTTTGAGGAGGTTTGTTTAAGACTTGTGGTAGATCCAGATCACCTGAGAGTTCTAGGTTTTCAGTCCCATTCTGCATAAATTCTTGTGCTGCATAGTATGTGTGTTATGAGCCATATCAGGTCTCTGGAAAATTGCAGGAAAA